TTTTTATGTAATTTTTAGTGAAAGCTGGTAAATGGGTAGAAGTTACAGGGTACTTTGTCTTTCTAGGTCCCAGAATCAGAGAGGTCTGGGCATCAGCCAGGCAGTTGTACTCATAAGCCATGTCTCTGTGGGCAAGTTAACCTCTCTGACATTTGGTTTTTCATATGTAAAGTGGTGGTAATAATTTCTGCCATATAGAATTGTGAAGATTAAATAATAGCCTAATGCTTTGTCCAGTACCTGACACGTAAGTGATCCGAAATGGCAGATATTTTTCCTGTTCAAGTAACATTTTTACAACCTAACTATACTTTTTAATCTCCTTTTTTACCAGTTTTATATAGTCTTATTCTGTTGTATTTTATGAAGAAGCTGAATTACCAGATTGTTGAAAATTACCATTGACTCTGTAATTATTGACATTATCCAAAGGTTTTTTCATCAGTAGATCCTATAGAACTGTCATCATTGTTGCCCCTAGCATTGAGGTCGGTAACAGTCCTGCACCAGCAAGTGAAGACATAGCTAAATTTGCCAGACAATAGCAAAAACTTTTCAAACCTGAGAGCTTGTAATTCCAACAACTGCCTATTTATTGGAATTGATGCTTAAGGATTTTCTGAAATTAACTAAATTGTGGACATAACCTGAGGCTTTTAAGTAATTTGTCAGCACACTGTGTATTAGACCAAATGTTTTCAAGTGTTTTTCCCCTACCGAGACATGCATGGTAAATGTGCAGAGTGTCCCCTGTGCATATTCAAGCAGTATACAGAGTAAACACATGGGCTGTGCAGTCGGATCTGCTCTTACCAGCCATGGCACTGAGCACTGAGCTTCCATCACCATATCTTTAAAGGAGGGATGATATTTGTCCCACTTGATTGTTGGGAGGGTTAAGTGAGAAATATGCCTGGCATACAGTAAGGACTTTCTAAGTGACATCAGTGGTTGACCTCACTCCCGGCGTACTGGCTATATGACCCTTCAAGAAGCTATTGAACTGTGAATCAGAATAACACTATTAGAGGCATAATTCTGAATCTGTTTTAATATCTAAAAAGTCCATTATATCTACAGAACGTCCATATTTGTGACAAAATACTCGTAATACATTTTCCATTTGTCATGACACTCCATTTGAGCACTACTACCTCAGACAGTGGTACTTCCTGTGACTATTACAATGCAGCACTGTTGGACACTAAAGCACTGGGGCTTAGAATTGAGGATGGTGGGCCCATGGCACTGGGGTGTACCACTCATGTCTTAGACAGATGAGGATGGTGGGCCCATGGCACTGGGGAGTACCATTCATGTCTTGGTTTTGGTTTCTTTTGAGATGGAGTCTCACTCCGTGGCCCAGGCTGGAGTGCAGTGGCGTGCTTTTGGCTCACTGCAACCTCCGCTTCCTGGGTTCAAGCAATTCTCCTGCCTCAGCTGGGACTAAAGGCATGCGCCACCATGCCTGGCTAATTTTTGTATTTTTAGTAGAGACGGGATTTTACCACGTTGGCCAGGCTGGTCTCGAACTCCTGGCCTCAAGTGATCCATCCGTCTAGGCCTCCCAAAGTGTTGGGATTACAGGCATGAGCCACTACACCCCACTCATGTCTTAGTTTTTTGGAAAGCACCCCCTGGAGGTGTGCAGGGCACAACAGCACTGCTTGGAAGGGTAGCATAGGAAAATTTTCCCTGGTCAGAGGAAAGAAGAGAGAACTACAGTTTGGAAAATGCTTGGGAGTAAAACGGAGTTGCTGGATGGGTACTCTAGTTCCCAGCATAGCCCCTCACCAGACTTCTGGGGTACAGGGCAGAGAAACAGTTCTATGGCAGTAGCTGTGATTATCAAGGAATTCAGTACATTTACTTTATAACCAAATTTGCTTCAATGCACTCAACCCCTAAATCTTTCTTCAAGCACATCTTTAAAAAGGGAAATGTTCTGTTGGCCTCATGTGTAGAGAATCTTGGTAAAACCAACACCTTTCCTGAACTGCATATCAGAAATTGATATAGGTGGAAACTATGTGAAGGTTTTTGTCTACTATCCATGTAATATGAACAGTATGCACTGAAAAGCCTTCTGTAGAGCCCATTCTCTAAAACCACTTGAGGCCCTGTTTATATCTTAAATGTCTGAATTTCCATTTCCACAGCTGTAAACTTAGAGAACAGGGATAGACGGTACCCTTTACCCCTCTCCATTCCTTTCCCTCATCTCAGATCTGTCTATTCCTAGTTAGTTACTTTGCAGATTTGAGTGCTTCTAGTGATTCAGTTGCCATGACCCTGGGCACGAGTAAATAATTTAATATTTGAGAAATTAGAGGAAAGAAAGCAATCAGGCCAAAAGGAGGAAACGAAAACATAACCCTGCTGAAGGAGAGCAAAACGTAACTCTTGCTCTCCTCCCCTGGCCTCACCTGCATTTCCCAGCCTCTCCCTTGTCAGCAGCTGACCACGTTCCGGACCACTGGAAGGCAGACTGGTGAATGCTTTGGTTCATGTCTTGGCTATCTGATATCCCATTTGAAAACTGTCATCCGGCTTAGTTGTAAAAGATGTTCAACCAGAAGAGTGAAGAGAAAGAACCAGGCAGCACAGTGCCATCCCTGGCCAGAGAGATGTCTGTTTTTCAACTACAAAAGTCTATGCAAAGTTCCTCAGTGGGAGCGATAACAATGTTTTGGACAAAGCAATTAATTCTTTATGGAAGAGGGAGTGGGGGAGAGAGACATCCATGAGCTGTGTGTCTTCAAGATTAGTGTCTGGGTCCAGAACACTGAGATGGCTGGCACAGATACAGACAATATATAATACAGAAGGAAGACCTTCTGTATCTTCCAGTGACAGAATATGTAAGCTAAAATGATATATTGCTATAAAGTAATATACTTAACAGACATTCCATAATATTTATATTCATGTGAGCTTTGTTCTTGCAATACAGCACGCATATTTCGATAATACAGCAATGATAATAGCTAATGTATATTGAGCATTTTCCATGTGTTAGACGCTGTGCTTTATATGTATCATCTCCCTTAATCCTTAATTCTCACAACTCTTTAAGCAGGTAATTACTGTCTCCATTCTACATATGTGGAAACTATGGCTTAATAGAGTAAGCAGCTTTCCCAAGTGGTGGAGCTAGGATTTGAACAGAGTCCATGTTGTTGACAGCAGTGCTACAGTTTGCCACAGTGCTAGGAGTAAAGGCCTAGGATTTACAGGTCCCAAACCTCTGAATCTGGAAACAAGGTAAAGATTCAGCCTCAAATTGAAATAAATAAGCATCGATGTTAAAGAAATATTAGCCGATTCTCAAAATAACCACTCTAAGAAATGACTTGCATGTTGCAGATGAGTCCACGGTACTTCACAAACCTGATCAAGGCGATCTCTATCCTTAGGAATATATGACTGGCAGATGGCTGATGAGGAAAAATTGGAAGGCAGTGCTGTGGTGCTGCTGAAATATCTTTGTAGGAGGACCGTATAGATTAACCAGGATGAATCAAAGAGTGTATTACTAGTACTGTCCAGCGTAAAGATCACCTAACTTCCGTAAGTTAGTGTTCCCACCTTATGGGGTTGTAGACCTTAGGTGGACCCAGGTGTTCCAGGTAAACTGTAATACTGTGTGACACTGCATGTTAAGATCTCTTAGGCTGGGCGTGGTGGTGCACGCCTATGATCTCAGCACTTTGGGAGGCCGCAGTCAGAGGATTGCTTGAGTTCAGGAGTTTGAGACCAGCCTGGGCAACACAGCAAGACCCCATCTCTACCCAAAATGCAAAAGTTAGCACATGCCTGTAGTCCCAGCTACTTGGGGGTATTGAGGTGGGACGATCACTTGAGCCCGGGAGGTTGAGGCTGCAGTGAGTCATAATCGTGCCACTGCACTGCAGCCTGGGTGACAGAGTGAGACCCTGCCTCAAAAAAAAAAAATCTCTTGTTCCCTTGCTGTGACTCTTAGATTCCAAATCAACTTCTGCTTGTAAAACTCCTACCTAGATTTAAAACAAACAAATAAACATTGTCTGGCACATAAGAACATTCCAGTTTATCTACCATTCCTTGATTTATTCTTCGCTAAACTCCTACTAAATTTCTTCTCTCTGTCATTTCTCCCTGTGAAAATTCTAGCTTTGAATGACCTAATCATATTTATTTATTCAGATAGAAATCCCATCCTCGGCCGGACGTGGTGGCTCACGCCTGTAATCCCAGCACTTTGGGAGGCCGAAGTGGGCGGATCACAAGGTTAGGAGATCAAGACCATCCTGGCTAACACAGTGAAACCCCATCTCTACTAAAAATACAAAAAATTAGCTGGGCGTGGTGGTGGGCACCTGTAGTCCCAGCTACTCGGGAGGCTGAGGCAGGAGAATGGCATGAACCCGGGAGGCGGAGCTTGCAGTGAGCCGAGACCGCGCCACTGCACTCCAGCCTGGGCGACATAGCAAGACTCTTTCTCAAAAAAGACAAAAAGAAAAAAAGAAATCCCATCCTCAACGGCATCTTTATATATGAAAGCCAACAATACACACTCTTCTTCTGGGAGGGAATAATTATTATGGAGGGTTGACAGTTTAGGACATGTTGCCTTACAGATTAAGAGTGGTTGGTTGGTTTGTTTTTAAAGAGATGGAGTCTTGCTGTGTTGCCCAGGCCGGATTAAAACTCCTGGGCTCAAGCAGTCTACCCACCTCAGCCTCCCGAGTAGCTGGGACTACAGGTGTGAGCCACCATGTCTAGCTAAGAGTGAAGTTTTATGTTATTTAATAATAAATTTATACTCAGAAGAAGAAAGGAAGTATACTTCATTTTCTTTCAAGATACCTAGAATATATATAGTCCCCATCTTTTATTAATGTTCCTTAGCTCTGTACCTGTGAGCGGTAAAGTACTAGTGAGTCAGGAAAGGCGCCATATCTAATAGCTGTTTTCTCCTTCTTTTAATATTTGATAACTGATTATTTTTCTTCTTTTAGATGAAAGACTTTCGCAGTAAAATGCAATCAATATTTCCAACAATTCCCAAGAACTCCGAATCGGCTGTTGAGTGGGAGGAAACATTGAAATCCAAATGAGATGAACATGGATGAATTTCAAAATGCTTGTTACGGAAAGGGGTGGCTCCAGAGATACCATAACAGCAAAGGGACTGGGACTAATTTCTCTAGGAACATGGGCAGATTGCTGACTGAACCAGTGCACTGGATAGCATTCGGCCTTCTCATCACAGGAGAGTATGTGTGTGCGTGTTGGTGGAGGGTAAAGTTTCCCCAAAGTTATGAAGACTATTTAAAAATAGTAATTACAGGAATAACTTCCTTATATGGAGGGGATCCCACAGGAAATGATTCTGTTTGTAATAGTTGAACCAAGTTTCATACCTAAAAAAAGTTTATAATAAAAGTATGATAGGAAAATATAAAACAGACCCCCTAATAGCAATAGTACTGCAATGTGTCTTAATTAAAGGAGTTTTAAGAGCCTTTCTTGTCAGTATGTGACAGAACTTGGAAGTCTTATTCTGATTAGCCAGACTACAAAGTGACAGTCACCTGGTAAGTCCTGTGTGGTGGGAAGTGGGTGTGGCTCTCGTGTCCTCATGTGGTCTGTGATTTACAGCGAGCGCACGCATGCTAGTTTACCTGATGCCCTCTTGAAGGCCCTATAAATTCTTATACTTAAAACAAAAAGCCAGTAATGAGTTGTGATCACCCAAAAAGGCACAGTTGGGGTAAAGTAATGATGATATCAGGGGTAAAAATATGTTTTTGAGAAGTTGGTCTGGATCTCTGAACATTGACAGTTTGTCATTTTGTCTCAGTTGTCAAAGTAAAAAGAGCCCAATTGTCATCTGTCTTCAATTTTTTTTTTTTTTTTTTTTTTGAGACAGAGCCTTGCTCTGTCGCCCAGGCTGGAGTGCAGTGGCGCGATCTCGGCTCACTGCAAGCTCCGCCTCCCGGGTTCACGCCATTCTCCTGCCTCAGCCTCCCGTGTAGCTGGGACTACAGGCGCCTGCCACCTCGCCCGGCTAATTTTTTTTTGTATTTTTAGTAGAGACAGGGTTTCACCATGTTAGCCAGGATGGTCTCGATCTCCTGACCTCGTGATCTGCGCATCTCGGCCTCTCAAAGTGCTGAGATTACAAGCGTGAGCCACCACGCCCGGCCTGTCTTCAATATTTTTAACCAGAAAGTCACCTGAGTACTGAGTCCCAATATAAAGTATTTGGTACCACCTCCCTAACGAAGCTGTTAGGGTAAATTCTATGTGCACACCCAACTCCCTCATGTCTTCCACAATCTCCTACAAAAAAAACAGATGGAGAATAATGTCTTCATGCAATTATTTTTACTGCAATTGCATTTTAAAATATTTTCAAGGAGAGAAATACTTTAATATGTCAGTATGTCCAGAGAAATAACCTGTAGTTAAATATCAGTTGTGCAGTTTCTTCCTACTTGCCTAGGCTCTAATTAGCAATCAGGTTTAATAAAGGACATTTGAAATTTCTGTTATCACGAAACCTTTTATTCTAAGGGAGATTTTTAAATGAAACGACAAGTACATAATGTAATACTTTTCTCTAGACCATGTTACCCTGTTAAAATTGCTGTTTTGTTAATGAAACAGGTGTAATCAGCATCTGGAATTCATATGTAATCTGTTAAAAATCCAAGACTGAAAGGAAAGGATTGTGAAATTGGTCAGTGAATGCAGGTAGCAACAACTCTTCACCGGCCTTTCATTTGTAGTTAAATCTCCTCTGAGAAGAAATTTGTAGCCTTTGAATGAAAGGAAGGAAAGGCCGGAGCTAAAGGAACAGGTTTTCATCCACACAATTAGTCTGAATCTAGGTCCCCTGAATAGAGTGGGCACCACCTGATCCTTTTGTGCTTCATAAATATGGGTTTCCAAGCTTGTGCATGAGATGGCCCTCAAACCTTGTTACAGCGGTGCACTTTACCCATCTGATGTGGGGGGAGGAAAGAATGGGCACTACCTAAAACCGTTTACAGCTAGAATCTGGGTTTTATTTTTCGTAGATGGAGAATGCCTCGTGGTTTCTAAAGACCTCCACTGGGTGGAGAAAGGAGGCTTGCCCGCCTGTCTGGAGTGTTAAAAGGAGACATCATTGTTAACTGTGATTCTATTATTTAATGGATTCCTGCCTTGTAACCTCCCTAAGGGTGGGGACCCCTCTCAGGGCCTTGTAAACTGGTGTCAGCACCACTGCAGGGGCTGCTGCACGTCGGACGGATGGCAGCTAGGCCCTAGGAAGGAGCCAGGGGCCCTGGCGGGGGCGCTGCTTTCCCACAGTGCTGGCGCAGAGGAGGCCTAGATGTATGTTGCTGAAGGAGTGTCCGAATACTAGAGTGGCATGCCTCGTGTCTGCAAAACCCTTATACGTCACCTCTGCTGTCCTTGACCGATGGCAGGGCGACTCCCATAAGAATGACGATGAATCCCCTGCAGAGGGGAGGCTGGCAGGGACAAATTCCCTAGAAGAGGAAACGAGCTTTGGCTCTAACTGCATCTTAAAAGCAAAAGTGAAGTAACGCACAGATGGAAATTTAACAAGAAAACAAGCAGTATGACTCAAGTGGTGTTTTCCACAGTCAGAACTTGAATATCAGTGGATTTCATCATTTGTCTATTCCTTTTGTACCAGAGGCATATTGTTAAATTGGTTAATGGAAAGGAAAAATGTTTAACAGATAAAGTTATTCTTTATGAGACGTACCATCTGTGTATTGAGCTCTGAATGTCCCTGGATATGGAAGAGAGGAAATGTGATGGAATTTCAAGTTTGCCTTCTTTGCTGTCTTTATCTTGGGTAGAATATGACAAACATAATCACATTTATCTCCTGGAGCATAAAGAGTTTTAATCACCCTATTAACCAGGATGACATTTTTCACAGACTTAAAAAGGAATAGAACAGCCATTATCTCCCTATAAGCAATCCATTTCATGGAGGCTGAGCACTAGAAATGCTTTAAAGGATGGATAACGCAGACCATTTCCATTTCCTGTCTAAGCCAACATTAAGGAGGCTTTCAGTAAGACTGTTGCTTCCACTGGGTGAGTGTTAAGCTTTACACTTAGAGTCTCAGCACCCAAAAGAGCTATTAGAGAAATCGAGGGCAGGGAGGAGTGGCTTCCGAGACCTCGGGATTCATTCAAGGGAAAACATGTATCCTGGTAAGTTGCTGCTGCCCTATGAAAAGGAATCCATGGGCTGCTGTTATATTCAGAGTCAAGAAAGTGTAGTTTCAGGACAACGTGAGAGTGGAAAGTAGGGGATGGGAGCTGCCTCCCAAGACACCGGCAAGCCCATCACTAGGAGGACCATGGCCCAAGGGTATGGAAGCTGGTGGCCGCTGAGAGGGCCGTCGGCCATCCCCACCTCCACCCTCGTGCCAGGTCATGGGCACAGGCTGGCATTGAAAAGGACACTTCGCCTGCTTAGTCAAAAGGTGGCATTGAATCATCTCGGCTGTCACATGTTTTGTTTAGTTTCATGGATAGTATGGGACCAAACTTGCAAATTAATCATTGCAACCTAAGGGGAAAATAGAAGAAATTAAGGTGGCGGAGGGAGCCCATGGGGACAAAAGTAATTAAAATCCACTGAATTTAGCTATTTCACTTGGGGCAACATTTAATCTCCAAGATTAAATCTTGGTTTATAGGGAACATTGTATATTTTCATCTCATTTTTATGTATCATCTTTAAGACAAATCGTTAAGTGCAAATGAAAATCAGGTAGCATACAAAGGCAGTTCACCAAATAGTTAAATTTCCTATGAAAGTGAGTGAAATACATATTTTTATAATACCATGTTCAAGTGAAGTGTTTTTCCTTTCTGCCAAGAGTCATTAAATGATATAGCAAGTATTTGGGTCTCTCTTGGTGTTATCAGGATTAATTGCCCAAGGCTGCGATTTTGTGAGCATAGAAAAGGAAAGCAAGCATCTCGCATAAGCAGTGACATGAATCTGTAATAATGAGTGAGGCTGTTAGCAAATTTTGTCTGATGGCAGATAACTCAGTTTTGGAGAAAATTAGAATCACAGCTACCAAGAAGCACATACCGTTTCAACTTTCCTACCCAAGTATTAGTGAAGTGATTTAGGACCTTGATTTATGTTTCTTCGATAAGCTGGCTTGAGGCCTTTGCTTCATTACTATTTGATGAAGCATGATCACTTACTTTAAAAAAAAAATAGGTGAATGTATTAAATATACTTAAAGACATAACGGCAAAGGTTATTCTTAATGGACTCTCCTAAGAAGCTAAGTCAGGCAAACTGAGAACGCTTGGCGTGTTCATAACACCTATTACCTGCTCATCTGAAAACACCCAAAAAATGGACCTTCATGCTGCCTCTGACACCCCAGGTTTGCAGTCTAATAGGTGACCCTCCACAGGACACCTCCAGGCGATGTCTACATTGCCACGCCCTGGGTGAGTCTCCGGCCCTCCCACATGCATGCCCTGCCTTCAGAGGACAAGTTGGCAAAACTGAGTTTCTAAAAGAAAACTTGAATTTGGCGGTCTGTACAGAGTTGTGCCAAACTGCAGTTTGCTCCTTTGCTCTGCCAAGCTGGGTAATGAGAATGTGTTTATTTTATTGCTGCTAGCTTTCTTCTCCGACTGACCCTGTTGTAGGGGCTGAATCCCCCACCGTGTTTCCTACTCTGGAACAGAGCCTATGTGGCAGACTTCTCCATCCAGAGCCTTTGGGGAGTGTTACCAGGGGATGGACCGTCCCTGCAGCCGCCATCTCCCTGTGTCCTTCCATCTCCCATCAGGCCATGGCGGCCACAGCTACTTAGATCCTTCCTGCAGTCAGGACAGAGGTTACACAGCTAAGACAACTCTAGTGACTAAATCTCATAAAAACTAAAGTAAGACCTCTTGTCAGAAGATAAGGATTGAGGAAACCTCTGCACTTGGCTTGCTCATGGGCCAGCTCTGGTTCTCTTTTCAAAGACTCATGACAAATGGTTGTAAAGTATCTATGGAATCAGCACATGACCTCGTATCTCAACTCCCTGTTTCGCAGAGATGCCTGGATGCGGCATGTGATGCAGTGAGTGACAGGGAGGCTTGGCTCCGCAGTGGAGAGTGCCTGCAGGAGGGCCGGGTTCAAGTTTATCTGGAGTGGGAGGTAAAACTGCACTTCCACCTGCCAGGGTGTGGCTCTGCAGCAAACCAGCCCGCATCCCAGGTTCTGTCTTTCCAAGGGTCTCCCACATACAGAGATCTTCCCTGGGAACTGTGAAAATGTAAGGGCTCGGAGTTGGGGTGGAATCTATATGCTTCAGTGAGCATGGTTAGCTTTCACTTCTCAATATTGTAAATGTTACTGAAGGAGCCAGAGAGAAGGGCCGGGTTAGAAAATGCAGGGTCAGGTGAGACCCTAGAGAAACATCCATAGCGCTGACGGGAAGAGGGCATTCACCTTGGACTGTTTCTTCAGGTTC